GTTTTTAACAAAAAAAACAATAGCCCTTAATAGTTCACCTCTAGACGTACGCTAGGCAAAGTTAAAAAAATATATGTCTAATTAGACATATCTTATTTAACTTTTCAAAACGTAAGTATGTTTGTTACTTATCACGTCAAAACAGCTTTTCGGTTGGCACATAGAAACATTATATTCTAGAATATCACGAAGCCTAGGTCAAATTTATTGACAAAATTGACATTTACGCGAACGAATCCGTGGGCAAAACTAGTCAATTTTTAAAAATATGTTTGTTGAATGAAAAGGACTTTCAATTTTGACCTTGTAGTATTATTTGGTAACTTACATGTATCGCCGACTCTATCCGATCTAGAATCTTCCCACCTAGTAATAGAATAAAATACTGGCATTAATGTAATGAATGTGTATAGGAGAATTGATTATTATATTATTATTATTTTTTGAATATCAAGAAAAAATGGGTTTCACCAATCGCAATTTGTAACTGCTGTGATACTGGTATTGTAACTATATTCACGATACCAGTAGAATATTAATAAGATGATTTTTTTGTCTTATGTAGGAATTTTTTAATTGTTCAGATGTACTGTACTATTTAGTCACTTACTGAGTTATTTTTTAAATAATATTTTCAATTCTCTTCCTTAAGATCTACGGATTAGAACAGGCAACAACGACCAGCTTAAAAACTGACTTACTCAGAATTTGACTAATTGAAATAAACTGTTGATTTTTCTTAGTGGTTTTACTGAGCGAAATGTAACTTTTAATTTTTATTATATACGAATAGAACGCGTTTTTTATGAAAAGGTTATTTAATGATCACAAACAGAATACCAAATCTTTGATAATACCTTAAAAGTACCTACTACAACTATCTATTTAAAATCTTTCACAAAAATATATTTGTGATATAATGAATCAATTATTTTAAACAATTTCTTCAAGTTAATAAAACTCCTCATCACCGGGGTTTTCATGGGTTGGAATGAGCAATGTCATGTGGTTTAAAGGAATCGTCAATGAAAAAGAATGCATTGCAATGCATAATGTGTGTCTACACATAGGTAAATATTAATCGTTAATGCATAATATTAAACCCACAATAGGAAACGTGGTTTCATAAAATTGAATGTGTAAATGCCAACTTTCATTAAAAATCCGAGTCTTATAAAGACTTTACGATTTGACCCGTTGGTATTCCAATGTAATTCCATTTGATAAAGTCGGCTATAAAGTCTTATAATAAATTTTTAGACCTAATACGTTTTTGTGAAAACAAAATTTATTATCGGCAGAGTACGGGAGCCCCGTAAAACAGGCCGCCTGTTATTAAGTGACAAATCGCTGGATTTTGTCGCAGTCGCAGTCATAAAGTCACAATAATGGACAAATTATACACTGAAAAGAAATGTTTACCCGACATTTCATTTTAAACTGTCGTCTCTATTACTTTGAAACTGAAATCGTAACTTTTTTTAGTGACTTATGGTATCTAGTTTGTAGTTGAAAAAAAAAATACAAGTACAAAGTGTTCTTCATAACTTTTTGATATATTTAGTATTGTAACACGGTATTTAGTCAATACTTAATAAATTGAAAAAAAAAACAATGCAGATAAATTTACTATTAATCTTATGTAAATTTATTACAATTTTATTAGTTTTTGCCTGCGGCTAGACCCGCGTGTATGTTGGTTTTTGCGTAGCGTAACAGACACACAGAGTCTTTTTCGCATTTATATTATTAATAGAGATTATCCCACATAAGGTTAGAACAAAACAAGAGATTATTATGTAATTAAACGGTCTACAAATTTGCCTTAAACCGTCCGTAAGCAAACATTTAACCACCAAACATATTTAGTCAGTCGTATGGCTTTTATTATGTATTGGCTTTTTTACTCAGACGCTTCAACTTAATAATTAAATTTTAACATTCAAACATTGAATTATTTGCTTTGTATCAATCACAATATTCAACAATCGGTTGGAAGATTTTTACCTGTTTAATTTATGAATTCAGTTGTTAATTTATTATTCACTCGAAGTCATGTCCCCAATAACATGTCCGTTTCATGTATGTATGTAAAGTTCCCCACGACACAGGATGTATTCCTAGTGCGGACGTTCCCTTTCAAAAAAAAAAGAAGAAAGGAATGCAATAAATAATAGGCAATTTAATAACTGAAAGCTTAAAAGACTCTACTATTTAAAAGAAAGAAATTCATAAAGTATTTTTATTTACTCCTTCGTGATAATTTTAGGCAATCCTTATCATGTTGGAATATTATCGTACAGTACCTGGATGACCGAGCTTTGCTCAGTTTTATTTTAGTAAATTTTCTAAAAATGGAACCTAACTAGATCGATTAATCGCCCCCGAAACCCCATGCATACTATTCAGATATATATATATATATATATATGTTCTTTAAACGAGCAATTCTTGTTAAATATGTAAATATATATATATATATATATATATATATATATATATTTACATATTTAACAAGAATTGCTCGTTTAAAGGTATTAGATGAGATAGATATATAATATAACTTGTGCTCGCAGATCGTGCTCACTAAGCGTTTCCGCCGTCCTTTGTTTTCAGTTTGGCACAACTCACAAAATATACGTGTACCTTTAATTACAGCTATTTGTGTTCACCGCCACGTAAAATTATTCAAATTACGTTTAATTTAATGTTATTTAAGCAACGAATTGCTGCGTATTTTTCCAAGCGTCCGTTGTGTTAATGGGCCAATTCCTGAATTAAAATCGACAATCGTAAATTTAACACTATACAGTGTTACTTTAACCAAATATATCATGAACCGTTACAGCCGGTGGTGAATTATATTATAATTTCATTTTTGCTAATACTACGTCACATTTATTTTTATTGCCCGGTTTAAATTCAGGTCGTAAAACGAAAAGTCTACCTATCCTTACAAAGTATTGTTTAGCAATGCTAGATTTCATTGTATTTTAGAATGATCTTAAAATTAATATTTATTAGTTCTATTATAAATTTTGAAGGAAATATTAAAGCTTAACTTTAAAGTAAAGGCCAGTACCGAGCGGAAAGGCGGCATTACCTAACGCGGTTCTGAAACTACTACTACAAGTTCTATACATCCATCATAAAATAACAAAACATACATTTCGAGGGTCCCCGCAAATGCAATTGCATCTAAACCAGTTATCGATATGTTAGGCTGTCCTGTGTCCTTATCGGATGTTTTTATTGTACGACAACAGGGACTGCGGCCCCATCATGCAAGATTCCACAGTTTTACACACAAGAAATGAGCTATAACGCTGAACTTTTGCATTTAACTCGTCGGGTACCGTACGCTTTTGATATTTCACAAAGTTGCACAGCCGTTATTGCGATACTCGCGAAGTTGTGTCTGATGCATTTAGAATGAATTGTAACTTCTTCGTTTCGTGAGTATAATCTATGTGGGTACCTCTTTCTAATGACGAAGTATCGATGTTAGTATTACATTATATATTATATCTGCAATAAAGTTACCTAATGTTAGGAGCGCTAACACGCTTGTGCTATACACGAAAGAGTAGCTGCAGCTCAATGGTTTATGTTATACTAGTAACACGTTTAAAATAACATTTTTATTTTATTATGAACAAACACAATTTATTGTTCCATCGTCTACGAAGTCTTCCTTGTTCATATGAAATGGCTTTTAGAAATATGGGATATATTTATTTTTTACCGGTTATTCCTATGCATGCCTTTTATTGTGGGTGTAAAAACCCCAAAGAGCTGTTATGCCACCGGAGTTTTTTGGTGGGGTGGTGTGTCAGACTAGAACTGACAGCTATTAATAATTTTAATTAGTACTAAATCGTGCCTTAACGAAATTTAGAGATGTGCTCTAAATTTTATTTGTAATTAAATGTAACCTGAATGTATTTGAATATGTCTATTTGTAGTTTCTAATTTAGACTTACTATTTTATCAATTTCAGTGCATAACAAATAAAATAATTATATTAACCCCACCAATAACTTGTTCTGGAACTCATCTTCACTCATCACTTCATCAGTCACAATTTATAATGTTTCATAGTGATACCATGTGTTATGCAATTTTAAATTCAATATTTTTCTTTCATCTAAGGTGCAAATACTTATTGTACAATAGTTAATGTACCTTGTCTATACCCTGTATCTTCCGCATTACGTACCTATTACAACAAAAAACGACTTCAGTAAAGCTATTCACCTACGGAAGTCTCCTAAAAATCTCTATCATTAATAATTCATCAATAATTTATTTGTAATTCGTTCCTTGAAATAACAACTTTTATTCATGGTATTTTAATTTATCAAATTTTATATGATGCTCGCCTAGTTTCGGAACTTCGATTATTTTTATGCTTTTCCTTGTCATTCGATTATTTTGCTATGATTTATAAATAATGCGTGTGAGAAGTGTTAGGACGTTCTTATTTAATCGGTGTTCTCCATTGTGATTTTCTGTCTTAATATTTTCATAAAACAAATTGTAGTTAATCCAATTTTTGCAAGATCGTACAAGCCTATTTTAACGTTGTTTGAGATAGTCTAGTTGTTTGGGATGTCTGTTCAGCTAATAAATCACGTTGATTGCCAGCGTCCCGTGATCGAGAATCACGCCGCTAACATACATCAATTTGATGTGACAAATACAAGCATTGCATTGTAGAGATACTAGTAGTGGATATTTATGACCAAAATCAAAATAGGTAGGTATAGGTACACAGATTACAATATTTTATTTATAAATTAGCGAGCCAATATATACACTTCTAGACATTAACGATTCTCCCTACTTTTATTAAACTACTTAGACGGCAAAATAGCAAGAAAACTTTAGCGAAGTGCGTATTAATAACCTCCTTTGTCCGATCAAAGATTTGATGATTGTGATATAAACTACAATATTTTGTGCAATTTCCGCCCTCGAATCTATTATCGGAATGTTCTATGGGAGGTAAGCCTTGTAAGTCATTAAGTAGTCTTTTGCGGATTATTAGTAGTAAAGTTCGTGTTTCATCCATGCAGTAAAGCGTACTCATAACATTAAATGCTACAATGTTTGTGATCCACTCCAGGTGGAAACTAAAATGAGCTCTTTGGGTGTAACCAAATGCAGTCTGCTAGTTAACCCGGCCTTGGTTTTAATGTTCGGCGATGGCACGAGTGGATAAAATTTCGTGTCTATGAAGCTTTTTTTTTTTAACCTGTGGAAATCCCCTCGGGCCATTATCCCACCGGGGTTTGTGGCGAGGCGGTGTGTGGGAATTGAACCGACTAAAATCACACGGTGTGCCACTTCAAGCCTGAGATAGGAAGAGTCCGGAAACAGCTGATATTAAGACATCCGGACCCCTCCCAGAGCCTGGCCGCAACACCGCGGGCACCACCACGCGGACGTCGCCTCTTCCCGGTTGTCCAGTACAGCGGATGAAGGTGAAAACCCGTCCCGTCCACCCGAAGCCACACTCAGAGCGGCATGAGGCGCTGGTAAGCGCGCCTACGCTGCTTGGTTCACCGGAGGCAAATTGGGTCCGAGTGGCGGTCATCCTCCAGGGCCCTCTTCGCCGCCTCCTGCTCCGAGTAGACGTCGTCGCAGAAGGATGCGACCGCGGTATAACATCTGTCACTACCGGCCATGGAGCGTATGACGGCCGGTAGAGAGAGATCCCCGCCACGTGTCTATGAAGATAGCGTAGCCAAGTCATAGGACAGTAATGAAACTTACACCATATGTTTTTGCTAATTATTTGCTAAGTTTTATTACGGCTCTATAAATTGGCTATGCTAGCTTCATAGACACTAAAATTTCATAAGATAATCCTAACACAATTTTTCTTCGCTCAAGGTGTTTACATGGATAATAGGGTTTAAGGGTTGCGTTAAAAAGAACCGTCCGATAGTTATTTCGATGTACATCTCTCTTGCTATCTATCTGTCAAGATGCCTTTTCTTAGGGACGCGTGCAGATATCAAATTATACTACTCGTAAAAATTAAGGAAGCAAAAGAACCCACATTTTTTTTCGAGTCATCGTGTCGCCATGAGTAGATATCTAATTTTGTAAAATATAATTTTGTGATATACCTCTTAAATTCTTAATACTTATGTACTAAATGCAGTAGTGTCACTTCCGCAATTTAATCTAAACTACATTAACATACAATACGGTCACAATAGTACAATTTGTTTGCAGGGTATATCTGTCTACACATTTTGCAGGCTCCCATTATTGTACTTTTGTTTTTGTTGTATGGCAATATTGCCAGTAACAACAAACTAGGCTAACATCGTTTAATGGTCACACTGTTAGGAATTTGCTCCTTATTTCGGAAAATTACACAAAAAACCCGTGCCAAGCAATACTTTCAATAATTACGTTTTACTACAATTATTAAACAAAACAACGCAGGATACCAGCACTGCAAAAAGAAGAAAAACTTGACACAAATACCAAATCGTCTGGCCAGCGTGGTATAGTAGGCCAATAACTACTTTCTAAGGAGAAGTCTATGTCCAGCAGTGGAATATTAAAGGCTGTGATGTGACTAAAACTATTTGTGATTATACTTATCTATCGAAATTACTGTTGTGGACAATAGTAATTTCGATTCGATTTTAGCGTAAAAGATCATGATGGCAAAGATTTTAGTGGTATTATTCTCGTGAATTCGTTAATTTTAAGCATTTAAATATACATTTCTTTTCAAATCCACTTAAACTTCTGAATTCATAAAAATCAAAATGCATTTAATAATATAACATTGCTTTGCTAGCGGCATGCTATCAGCCTATTGGAAAGTGCATTGTGATTTTATAGTGCCTGCCAGTTTATCGTTCGCCTTCTTCTATACCAACTGGTCTGTCTTAAGATGATATCTGTGTTAACTTATTATGTACCAATAATTGCTTTATGAAATAAAGTTATTATTATTCAGCAAAAACTTTTCTCTTTGAAAGTTACTATTAGTTACCATTGAAGTACAGATACAAAGAAGCATATCAACTAAGTAATAAGACATAAGTGACATTTATTAAGTGGTTTAAGACATATATATATAATAAATTTATATTATTTTCTAATTACGGGAGTATAGACGGAATACATAACTATACATAAAAATTATGCCATGCGAGGATAGTGTTATCTTCTCGTAGTACACAGATGTGTTTTTAAGAGGCCTTTTGAGGCTCTGCATATGATGTTCTTGACGTGGGAATATAAAAAGTAACTTAGCATCAGATGTAACACTTAGGTCTCTGATGACATACATTGACCTATTATGGTATTATGAAGTTTGTATTAAAAGATTATAGGTTTGAGAGTATAGCTATTAACGAAACATTTAGCCATATTAAGCTCAAGCTTATTATTAGGGCAATATTTCTCTAATATCGTTCTTTCGGCTCAATTTGTAATATTTATCGCCTTAACTTTAAAACCAATAGTACTGTTGCGCTAAAGGTTTGCGTCGTTCTTGTGTTGTATTATGAGGACAGCGCCATCTAGTATCAAGTAGCATATAAAGGCGTAGCGTGTTGGCCGTGCGGGACAGTATCTTTTTACGACACACACCGAAGCGAATTTCTGGTACGATTAACGAGTCGTAGAGTGATTTCTTGTTTTGTAATAGTGATTGTTTGTAAATACAGCGCAATAAAAGTAATTAACAGACAATTTTATTTTGTATACCCCGATCGTAACAGTACTTTTTAAGTTATCGCCTTTAATTTACATGAGTGTTTTGCATTTTTTTTTATTTTTCTGCTATCTAGGAAAACCAATACTTGTACAGTCGTTATAACATGCTCTTGCAAGTGAATGTTTTAAAATATGCATATTTGTAAAGTAGTATAAACCTAATTTGCACCATTATAATCTAAATACATAATATTCTATTGTTCCAGTTCGCAATGGCTATTCTTGCGTACCGGTTGCACTTGCCGATGGTTTGGACATCAGACTTGGGACGGCTGTTACCGATATTCAGTATGGAGGTCCGGGAGTAACCGTGAAAGCTGTCAGCACCAGGAATCCCAGTCAGCCGCAAACATTTAAAGGTAGTTCACCCATTTTGTAGATAACGCTTTATTTTTCTTGTACCACTACCCAACCAAAAAAGATCAACGTTCTAGAAATTATAACTTTTATTCTCAACTCGCAGATTTTATATATTGTTTGATCCATACCAACACCTCAATTGTTATATTTGTATTTATGTGATAAAACTGGTTCTACGCTGCGTATTGCACATGTATTCGTCTTATACGTTCTTCAATATTTAAGACACGTAAATGTATATTGTTTTCGCTTTTATGTTTTTACGGAAGTCATTCCAAAGAGAAGAGAAAACTGATTACTGTGGCCTTAATATTAAGTAGGAAGTAGCATTTACGTAAAAAAGAAACAAAGCGAGATAATGGACGTTATGAGAAAAATCCACAAGGCTATCGCCGTGGTTCCTTGTCATTTCTTTGTCGCAGAATGATTTGCAAGTCTAACGCGTTAATTTTACTTTGACGAGGCAAAAAATACGTTCACGCCTGTGTTGACCCGGCGGTCTGTGCTTACTTCGGTCCCACTTCTCCCCGCAGGCCCCTTTTCGCCTCGCCTGAGGCTTTTCCGCCACATTTGCATGCAGGCGGGATCTAAAGTAGACGAAGCAGTTAGACGTTTGAAAGTTTATCTTACTATTTGTAGCGTATGTAAGAGTGGTTTTTTTCTTTAAATGATATAAAATACGATGAAATACCTAGAAAAGTTTATATTCTGAATAACGTCATGATGTCATTCTCACTCACCTACAAGTGTGTCAATCACAACGACGCGACGTGTACCGGTAGCCTAGAAAATACTAGAATACGTTAAGATTAGCACAAAATGGTGATACACATACTTCCGGTGCCTTATATCCATTATAGGGTTTTGACCGTCGTATTTCAAATTTACTTAACAGACAAGAGAGATATTATTATTCCGACTATCTAAATTAAAATTGACAGAAATTCATGCTTTTAGTTTGCCCATTTTTTTTACTTTTCCTTCATACCTTCTCGTAGGTAATAAAATCAATCAATTTATCAGTCGTTCGAATTATGTGTTTATGATGAGTCTACTTTTTTGATTCTATTTGTTTAGTATAGATTTTACAATTGACAAAATAAAGCCTGCGGCTATTTCGTCGGTTTAATATGTCTTGTAAACTGAACTTGAAGCTTGAAGCACAACACTTATTTTTCTGAGCGTATATTGTTGATAGTTGCTGCGAAAGGTTATACGTTACACACATAACGTTTTTAATAAGATAGTACATCTTAACTACGAGATCACAGCTTAGAATAGAGTATTATTCAAAAAAACTTACATTGTTGATGTATATCCATACTTATATTATAAACGTGAAAGTAAGAGCACGAGTACGCTTTCACGCCTAAACCACGAAACCGATTTTACTTGTAGTAAAAACTAAGCGGCTTTGCACACCATAGTTCAAATGTTTTTACTGGTTAATTTTTTTCTCTGTTTCATTTACGATCAAGCTTATGAGAGTTAGAACTTTGATATAGAAATTTGCGTTAAAAAAAAAAGATATTTAAATAGAATTTAACATTGCTTTTGATATGTATTCCGGGCACGTATGTGTCGATTGTGAGAACTGATTGTGAAGGTGGATGATATTCGGGAACTCTCGTTTAAAATCTTTGGCATGGAACGTTTACTTATGTATAAATAGGTTAAATAGAAAGCATATTTTACGTGATATTAATAAGAGCACTTCATTAAAAATTATTTGTAGATATCAAAATCTTCTCACATAATAGTATAGGTATAAAAACTGAAAACTTTGTATTTGTATTTCATTCCAAAACTTGTTACGAATATTATTTTTTAAACAAAACAGCACAGTGGCAACAGTTATGTCGCTCAGCAAAGTTATATAGATTATAATTATCAGTAAGGAAAGTAATCAAAAATAATTATGCACAATTTATATAAATAATATTCCTGTAATCTCATTCAGCCGTTGATTTGAAAAGAATACAATCTCAGCCACAATCCTTTTATCCTACTTAAAGATTCAATCCTTGAGAGCTTTTCTTGTTAGGTAAAATCCTGGTAAAATAGATATCACGTGTGTTGGGTCTACAGAAACCTTTATTTAGTATTTGCGGGCTTTGTTTGGGTCCGACCTTAGCTTTCACACTGATTGGTTCCACCTCCTTTCATTTGACTAGATATAATGCCGCAATACTATTGATACGTAATTTGTGTGTGTGAAACAAGAAACATTTTACAGGTAACAACAAGTTTCTTGTTTAATTAATTTGTTAAATAATAATAAACTACAAGTTCCGTTTCTATATCTATTAGTTCCGTTTCTATTCTATAACTATCTTCGAGGAATAAATCTTTTATTAGAGCATTTTATAAGCTTAATTCAGACTTAAGAACTTATGTTGATTATGTATATTCCCGGCAACATTAAGTGCCAGTTAGAGATATGTGACTACTAGAGGTATTACTTACACTTATATTTGAAAACGTCTGCCAGTGCCGAGATGAATAGTTCCGGAGATATAATATCTTCCTACCTCAATCCTCGTTGCAGTTGGTTTGAGCTCTGATCCTGTAGATCGATTGACATAGTAGCATTGTCGTACAAAGAATTCAATATACCGATAGCCAATTTGGTACCGCTGGAGAGACTATAGCACAGCCCAAGTTTCGATCCAATCAAAAGGTTTCTCTTAGTCCACATAAGTCCGAAGAATATAACTTTTCACTATGTCCAAACATAGTGAAAAGTTAGTTTATGGTACTACAACCTTTTCGGAAATTGGCTTGTTCGGGAGCCTATAATCTCTTTTTTTTGGATTCGTAAAGACTCTTGAGAACAGCTTATAGACATGACTCATAAGAGACATGGGTTCTATAATTCTGCAACAGGGTGTTATCGTCCTTTTTGAAGAAAAGCACCACCACACCTCTGAACCATCGAGTATGGCGAAATCGAATATCTTCTCAAGAACTTTTAAGACCGGCTTTCTACCTGCCTTCAGGAGTTCAGCAGTGATTCGGTTTTCATCCAGTGCTTTGTTGTTCTTAAACTGTTTGAGAGCCTTACTAATCTCCTACAGTCTCGTACATATATTGAAGTCACTATGATATAATACTGTATTTTTGCAGGAGACGTAGTACTATGTACATTGCCCCTGGGCGTATTAAAAGTGGCCGTGGCAAACAATGGGCAAAACCAACAGAATTTCGTCAAGTTTGATCCACCATTACCGGATTGGAAGGTATGCAAAAATCGTTTTTGTTTTATAGTTTCATGTCTTCTGTTCTCTTGGCATTACTATGCTTGAATAATAAAATAAACTAACTTTTAAACGTTGAAATGTGAACCTTTCCTAATTGTATTTATGAGGAGGAATAGCAAAAGAAAGTATTATAATGAAACTGCAAATGACTATTTTCTCTTTTTTACACAATTGTCTCCAAAAAATTAAAAAATCAATTATTATTTTTTAGAAAATTCAGATAGGTTTTCTTATATCGATTTGAACTTAACACGTGTACTTTGTTTTAGGTGGCAGCCATTAAACGTCTCGGATACGGCAACCTAAACAAAGTGGTGCTATGTTTCGAACGCACGTTTTGGGACCCGAGCGCAAATCTCTTTGGTCATGTTGGAACTACCACCGCAAGCAGAGGTTTGATATTAACAAGTTTATCTCGCCAGTTTATTATTGTGGAACATATTATTACTCGTCTTGTTGTTGGTCTTTACACACACAGCAATCTTTACTTGCCGACTTTTGTTACAAATGATCTTTAAAAAAAACGTAACCGACTTTATTACGCTTACATTACATCTTCTATTCATTATATCCTAATTTTCATGTTAGAGGTAAAACGTCCTAAGTTATACTTGTAATAACGTCGTTTGTCATCATTTAAAAAAATGATTTTCCAATGCAAGTTCACCCGATACACTTCCCGTATGCATAGTGTGCACATTATTGAAACATAATGAATAGAATCGCTAATAAGTTAGTGAGTGTAAATTTCAAAGTGAATACATGCATTTTCCTTTTATTCATCATGTTTTTTAATATTTCATCAGCGATGCGTCGCGAGGCAATATTATATAATAATTATAAATATTTAAATCGCGAATGACATAAATTTAATGAATCTGATTTATCATAAACATGGAAAAGCAAACATTTTAATTATATTCGTGTTCCAAGAGTACCTGTGTGTTTGCTTGGTGTTGTTGTTCAACGAACAACCACCCAACTAATCATATTACCAGAAAGTAAAAAGAAAATAGTTTATATGCTCATAATAAAAAAATACTTACATAGATTAACACACATAAACCTAACATCTTAGAACAATATTTCAAAGTATCTCCTAGCCCCACACCGGATAACATGAATTATATTCAGGTGTAAATAGTGTAGAGCGTAGTAAGATCTCGGTGGCGGCGATAACGAATTAAAAGCTGAATAATTTAACGCTACTGAGGAACCCTGAGGGGCGCCGCTTGCAATAAATCACAGCAACGAGCCAAGACAAGCTTTTTTACGATATGCTTTACTTCACCTCCTTGGCTTTGTTGTGTGTTCAGCTAACTTCATTAAGGCCCCCATTTGCTCTGGGAATGCCGAAACAATGTATAGAAACGTGATTTTTTTAAATCGTGGTTAATTTAACGTTTTCGACCCGTGTAGCGTTTAAGGAGCTACGCTATCTGATGTGCATGTATCTTTCGGTGACGTCGAGAAGTTATGTGAGAACTGACGCTGACCTCTTGCATTTTTTCTTATGTATTGGACGATTTAACAATTCATTCCGATAGGTACGTAATGAAGATTACAATCTAAAAATGTAAAGGTATTAACCAATTGAGGGTTGAATTCTTTAACATTTACTCGAGTCGGGTGAATTTGTAAAATGTTTATTTCTCAAGCAATGTCTTACCTAAACCAACTTTACCTAATATGATATTGTAATATCTGGCTGCAAGAAGGTATACAGAAATGTTTCACGTTTATAGTATTGTGAATGTTCATCTAGTTTACGTTTAACTATGGCTGATTGTTACTGTATTATTTGTCCTTGAGGCTCAAACTAGACGCTTTTAATCGAATACCTTATTATATGTGTAATAAAGGACCTATGCGGTCAATTTATTATAATGTAGACGTACTTACAGTTGCTTGTTTTTACTAATTGTGAATTAGATTTTAATCTTGCGATTCGTGAGGCTTATGTCCGGCAGTGGACTGCGATAGGCTGATGTTCATTATCGTCGTTTAAAATATTAGGTCTTTACCTATGAAATTGCCGTTTTGTATGCAATAAGTGAAAGTACTTATTTTTTCAAACTTTTTTATTTCTGTTATTCGAAGTAATCACCCATGCAATCGACGCATCTTTGCCAACACATTGGCAGTTTATTAATGCCCTTCTTGTAAAAAACAGCTGGACGGGAAGCAACAAACTCTTCAAAGGCATTTTGTACTGCCTCTCGGGAATTGAATTTTTTACCCACTAAAAAGTTGTCTAAATTTTGGAAAAAGTAATAGTCGGTAGGTGCAAGGTCTGCAATCGGCAATTTCATAGGTAAAGACCTATTATTTCAAGGTCACTCGGGACTTTAACATGATATTGTTTGTCTCTTGCTATAATATAATCTAATGTATCTAATATAATCTAATATGTTATAGCAAGGTCACTATAGCTAATGTGTTGCTAGCTGGCCAAATACGAGGTGTGTTCAGGAAATAAAGGGAATTTAATGTTTAGCGGGTGTGGAGAGCCCGATTAAAAAATTGTATCACTTGGGTATACATTCCCCTGAAGCATGATAAAATGTATGAATGTATATGAATACATTTATAAGACTTCTAGAGAGAAAGTTAAAAATGATATTTACTTTGTCTCTAGCAGTCGCTAAGGTTAAACGTGTTTTTATGAACTCAGCGATTTTCGTTCGTTAATTGAAATGGATCAAAGAATTTGTATCAAATTTGCTTAAAAAAGAAATAAACTGTAACAAAGTGTGATTTTAACAAATGCCCATGGTGCGTCTGCTATGAGTAAAACAATAGTTTACGAGTGGTACAACCGATGTAAAAGCTATGAAATGTCGAAGACAATTCATGGCTTTTGCACTAGGATCATGCATCTGCTCACACTTCATTGCTTGTCCGTGGATTTTTGGCCTATGATAATAATTGTAACCACACCCAGCCTTAAAGGGCCGTCGTTTTACAGGCTTATATGAACCTCCTTTTTAAGGAGAGGCCTATGTCCAGCAGTGGACTGTTAAAGGCTGTTGATGATGATGATGATATATTATGACATTTAAAGGGGATCGCTGAAAGAACCAAATGCTATCCCAAAGAACGAGTTTGGGAAGTATGTCGCGGATTGGAAGAAACGCTGGCATATAAGTGTATAATATCTGATGAAGACTATTTTGAGGGCAACAACATTAATGCAGACAAATTTTTATTTCTCAAAAATCTAAAGTGCCCGTAATCTTCTGAACACGCCTAGTACAAGCCCATACTGTAAACGTGACATTTAGGGATACTACTAATCGTACTGTCGTTGAGACGAGTTCAGATTTTAATTTATATTATCCATGGTGCATAACTATAGTTATAGTATAAAGTGCACGGATGGCGTAGTGGTTTAAGCGGTCGCCACGCCGCTTCCTTCTACGCTGAGTGTTGTGGGTTCGGTACCCATATGGGACGAGACTTTGTGTAATCCAGAAATTGTTGTTCTGAGTCTGGATGTTCTTTGTGTCTGTTTGTAAAGTCCCCCGCGACACAGGATATATTCCTAATGCGGGAGTTGTCTTTTTTAAGAATGAAAAAAAATAGTTAAAATAAAGCGACTTGTCAAGTAATAATTATTTTCTTCACTAGGTGAATTGTTCCTGTTTTGGAATTTGTACAGTGCTCCGGTGCTGTTGGCATTAGTAGCTGGCGAGGCAGCTGCTGTGATGGAAAATGTTACTGATGATGTCATTGTAGGCAGATGTATTGCCGTCCTAAAGAGTATTTTTGGACATGCTGCTGTGCCTCAGCCTAAAGAATGTGTAGTCACCAGGTAACAATTACTGAGATTTGCATGTATTCCCAGTTTTTTTTTACTTATTTTAAAGAAATGCGTATAGACTAGCTAGTATAGCCATAATAACTGTAAAAATTAGAAGGTATGTGGAGGACAGACACATACCCCCACATCTGGGTATATGTCTATACTCGACAGGTACTGTTGTTACTTTTAAAATAACTCATATCAAAAGGAACGCTGCTGCCGCACTCTAGACAATAGTCACATAACTAGAATATTACTTCTATATTAATACTCTCAAGACATTTCACATCAAAGTAAATAAGAATGAGTATATGTATTATGTTAATCATTTTTATAATTATAAAAACAATTGTGTTTTTCATTCTTTCTGCTTCATTTGTAGATGGCGCGCTGATCCCTTTGCTCGAGGCTCCTACAGTTTTGTTGCAGTTGGTTCCTCTGGTACAGATTATGATCTGTTAGCTGCTCCCGTACCCGGCTCTCCAGGAGAGAATAGACTTTTCTTTGCTGGTAAGAAGTGGCATGGTATTTATTTTAACAAAGTGGACTCAAATGCTTAAGCTAAAATTTCTGTGAACTGGCCAAAATTCAAAATCTCTTGACTACATTTTTCATTGAAGGTTTTCGCTTTTTTGTGCCGACTATAAAAATACATAATATAAGTATATTTAATACAAGAGACATAAGTGAAGAGAACTGACAGTAAAGGGCTAGCAAAAACGAAAAGGTTTTAGTTGAATTCGTATTCCGTTCGTAGAAGCGCAAACCATAAATCATTCTTTCCCTTCTTGTCTTGTGGTCTTCAAGAATAGAACATTACGTGTTTTCCATAATGTATTAGTGTTTTTCTATATTGTATGTATACGCTTAGCTAACATTTATTAAACAATACATATATACCTACTTATAATAGACAATAAACTTGGTTTCGGTGTTCTTGGTTCGGTTACCTGTAAAATATTACTTAAATTATAATATTAGTAATTCTGTCTGTAATTTAAAATGGTAGAATAAATTATGCAACAATAGTAGCTATGTAATTAACACAGTTAGAAGTTTAAAAAATTTACTTATCTATCATTTAAATGAACCATTAAATTAGTATGTAATTTTTGGATTAGATTTCATTATTTATGTAATAAAAGTATAGTTGTGATAAATATTATATGTAATTAATCATTGCACAATTTATTATAACCCCTGCGGAACTGTATTTATATGTTTTACATATACTTGTGCGATTTTTGATGATACATTTAGTAGTGTAGTGATGATACATTTAGTGTGTAGTAGGAAGTGAGGTGATACGGAGGAGTTTATTTTGCTTGGATGTAAAAATTTAGATTTTATTATGTTAATTTTTTAGTTCATTTCTAAGGTGTATATAATTATATTATATGTGTACGTTTATGAACATTCTGGTTGCCATAGTAAAGGCTCTGCCTACTTTAGGATCAGAGGGCCAGATGTGAGTTGTCCAAAGTAATAATTATTTTAATTACACAATTGGTGATCGTATACATATTAAATTATTTTGTTCAGGTGAACACACTATGCGGAACTATCCGGCTACCGTCCACGGGGCATTTCTTTCGGGACTTCGAGAAGCGGGACGACTAGCGGATCTTCTTCTGCCACAGCCGCCAATAACAAACGCGAGTGTCGCTGCCGCAACTGCAGCTGCTAATCAGAATTCTTAATTTATTTTTTGATATATATGGTCTTAATTGAAACGGAAATATTTTAATTGTATCTATCTCCTTGCTTGCTCATAGCTTATTCTCAGTTGTAGAACTGACTGAAGTACGTTTTGAGTTTAAAGTCTCTTATGTGTATATCTTAGTGCTACAGAATACTCTTGATCTTGCTGTCGTCGAAATATCCATTGTAGCTTTCTTATTTCAAACTTTTTAAATACTTGCTCAGCACTATGATATGTGGTAAACACCACCTACCATAGTTATGTCATTATTGAAATATTCTAATATTTTTTTGTTCATTGTTATGATATTATTTCTTACTTAGTTTGGTTTGCTCTAAGGATAAAATCAAGATTTTTTTCTAATGATAACAAACCAAAACTTGTGTGCATGTATTATTTTAAGTTATCGTTTGAATGCGTCTGTAACAATAAAAAAATAAAATAAAACTTTGTTGTTGTTCATTTGGTTCCACTTAATAACCCATTGATTGATTAATACGTACTCGTATAACAAAAAGTTTCAAAAATCATCGCCGTGGTATTGTCGATACGCAACGAATACAAAAGTTATTACTTTTATAAACATATTATTTGGACGAATTGATACCTTAAACAAATACACCTGCCTCAGTAAAGAAGGAACGAAGCACCTGTTTGGACTTGGTTTCTAGCTCAGTTTCTGATCTCTTTCACACCTCGGGATCAGAAAGAGATAGGTCACAGCCATGAGAGGCAATTTTGATTGGTGCGGCCACATTTTATAATCCTTGTTCACGAAGCGACTGCAGTCTGCACTATTACACCGAACACGTTTCTCGAGACAATTAACACGTAAGTTTGTACTTTACAACCTGTGTATGGAAACGTACTCATAAGTCATTATGTGCTACTTACAATGTACTTACTATGTAGTATTGCATTAATGTAACTTCATACACTTAAAGAAGAGTAACAAAAAGCGGAAAGGTACCTACAGTTAGTATGACTTGTTAACGATTAATTCATATGAAATTGAATTATCCATTAGATGCACAATACGGTGTGATGGGTATCACGGTAACAAAACCATTAAATGAAATCTAGGGGTGTCGATATATGTAGATACGATTACACATAAACAACATAACGACTAATTTATTTATAGGTTAGATTTAATTGCAGTTTGTTGACACGCTAGGCGGGGCGGCTGACGGATTTATGATGAATTTTAATTGCATTTTTAATTATTTCTCAACAAGTGTTCGCCGGCAAATTGAATATAAACTATCGCGATCTTATCTCATGTTGTCTTGCTCCTGGATGTATTTAAAAGACAATATCCCGGATATTTTGTAGGATGTTATGTAAATAATTTATGAGACTATTATAATTATTATGAATACTACGCCTCGTTGATCTTTTCTTTACCAAATGAATACTATTACCGATCATTCTGAAACTGATATTAGGTATAAATTTCCGATCATGGCCCGCTTATGGTAATCAGCTTAAAATAATAATAACAAATATACTTATCACAGTTTTCACGGTTTTTAATGTATTATTTAAAGCTGTTATAATGTGACTCACATTAGTTAATTTAAAATATTATTTAACGCAGTTGGAGGCTGAGTAAAAACATTATTACTTCATCGGCTTCAACATTTTATTAATCGTTTATTATAATCATTTATGTTAAGATGGAGGTGAGATAGAGGATAGAGGTAAAGATATAGGTAGTTCTTACACAAGTCCTATGTGTATAGGACTTGCTTGCTCTCCGCACCAACAACTCAATAAGTAATTAATTTCGTTAGGATGTTCTAATAAATCTAAAGTAGTTATTAGATCCTCTAGTTTGCTTAGACTGCTGTTTTGTCCGTTATTATTTATCAAACGGAAAACAGCTTTATTGACATTGCATTTGAGTACATTTTTGTATACTGATGATTATATATATTCCATTTTTCATTTCCACTATCAGATTTTACTAGCCCACGCCCATTGATTAACACAGGAGATAAAGGTTAGTTTAATGAAGTATTTTTATACTTAGCATTTTTTCACATTGTTATCTGACAGCAAGTTTAAGAACAGTGGTGTATAGAGTAGCCAATCGAAAAAAAAGTATTAAATTTATCTGGGTAGTGGTTTAAAACTACACCAAACAGAAGTTATTTTCCTTCCAAATAGTTAACAAGTCTAGGAAATATTGTAAAAATACAAACGGGTAGACGAGTCGCACGTCGACGCACTCTTTTTTTAACACCAAGTTTTTCCGTAAGTCCGTGTAATCGAGGCATAGCTTTTTCACGGCAACTAAGGTAGGTACAAAAACAGTTAAAAGATGAAGAATCTTCTTTAACTGTGCTGTGATGTACTAAACCAATTAATTTTACACATCTACAACATTTACATGATTACAACAATTACACAACAAATAAATAATACATTTTGCACAACTTTGACTACACAAATGCCATAATTCTCTCAACGATTTTACTCTACTCCAAACATGGGAGAAAGCAAAAAAATTCTGGATGCAATTATAAAGGTATTTTTTTTTTCCATTTTACTGTGGTACCTACTAACCGGTTTTAAGTAGGGCAAGCCACTCCAAACATTTTTTGTCCAAATACCACTTCGTTACAATTAACCCTACCTACCTTTAAAAAATGACCTACGAAACGATTCGAACAAACGAGGAATTAATATCGTAGTCCAGAGCCATTTATTTTGAGTTCCCACTTACCACTTTGTTCTTACATCGGCCTTTTATCTCTTTGTAATTATGCATCAGCACTGTATTGTTTGCTTAAGATTTGTTCGCCTGATGAATAATTACCTGCTTTGAGTCGGCTACTGTGCTTGTTTTATTACGAGTACTTTGTATGTAACATAATTCGATTTCAGACGTGAGTTTATTTGTTTTAAGATAATTATTTTTGAGAAGACCAATCCTCTGCGATCTCTATTAATAAAATGAAATATTTTTCTTCTTATTTAAAACACGTTAAATTATACTTAGAGTAAATAACCTAAGAAATTACTATGTAATGTAATTGTTTATGAAAAATGAATGATTAGAAATGAATTATAAAGTTTTTTTTTTAAGTACGTATGTTGACATAAAAACAAACACGGATTTATAAAGAGTAATAAACATCTTGTTTAAATCATCCAAGCAATGGATTAAGGAAGTGATAGTTTAGATATATATAAAAAAAAACAATCTCGACACAAATAGAAAAATCCAAATTCGTAGAGTGCAATACGAGGAAAATTGCATTCTTTTTTTTTGAAAGTATATAACATATGTATATCACAAGGTTTAACCAACTATGACGGCGGTTCTTCTCGGGCTTTTTAATATAGGCATTCTAATCTTTACCACACTAGAGCATCATCTTAAGTAATACTAGTGTATTATTTCCCAAAGTTTTTTTTTAACTTTTAATATATCTTTTATTCATTTCTTAGGTATATAATGACCGTTTCATGTTCCACTCCAACTTACCGGTCAACCTTTTGAAACCATTTTCTTATTATTTTATTCACATCATAACACTACATAAATCAATATTCTTATTTTTTGCGTAGAAAAGGTTTTAGAAAAACTACATGACCTATCTAGGAAATGAGGGGCACCTGACTACTAATCACACAATGTTACGTAAAAAGGCGGGCCCGAGACATATATTATATTGACAAGATGATCAGGACTGTAAAGTGGTTAAAATTATCTTGCATAATTAATCACTGGCCTTAAAATCTTTTTTTTTCAGATTTATTATACTATACGTGAATAAACATTTCTGATTTACATGAAACAAAAATTATACATAAGCATTTATAGGAAACCTATGCAGTTTGTATGAATGCTCAGTGTTAGTCTATGTTATGTCTATGTAGATATATTTGATAAAATCCAAGTAGGTCGGTCCACCTACGGTCGGATTTTGGAAATAAAATTTAGGTAGCCAACAGTATTTACTCACGGTAAATGCTTTAAGTGTATTAAAAGTACTTCTATAGATATAAATACCGATTTCGCTGCACTATGAGGAGTTAAATGTTGTTTGTCTCCAAAGAAAAAGCCATCTTTATTAGTCTTCCTCTGTATACTTATATCCCGCAGGGTTCAACTTTCATTAATTGATCCATTAAGTTTCTGAGTGAGATGGGTTAGTGATGTCACTAGGATGGCCAAGGTAAGCCGTCTTAGTTACATCATAAATCCATGTCCAACTAAACGCGACTGATCCTTCGTAGATCAAAATTCATATCAAATCATGACTGATGATTGCATAAAAAAAATCAACTTTGGTTGTACAAAGAGTTGTAAGTGACATCTACTGTAAAATGCAATAATTATGTGATACGGCTTGCTAGTTCATCTATTGTGTAATAGATGGCGTTAAAATAAAGCGCACGCGCATACTATTTAGCGTCATCTATGTTTATATTGTCAAGACGCCATCTGCTGTTGTTTAGTTTTTAATGCAAAAGTTTTGAGTGTTGTTCATAGGGAGCGCCTATCGATTATACTTTGTTTTTTTATAAGATTAAATACCCTCCTTTATGAGCATAAAATATATTATACAGCTTATTGCGCACAAATTTAATAGAATATGCTTAAATTCTTGTTGTCGTTTACACGGTATATATAAGGTTGGTCCTTCGTATTTGCTGCGTGGGTTGATCACTTTTTTTTATAACCTGAATAATGTCTGCCATCAAAATGTTAGATATATCACCAAATATGTAGATCAGTTCCATATTCTATAATATCTTAAAATCTAATTGATCATTTTGGTTTTGGCATAGGAGGGCAAACGGGCAGCCGGGTCACCGTCACGTGGTAAGTGACTACCGCCGTCCATTACACTGGCAGTGCTATTATCTAAGGAAAAAGCCTTGCGTACAGCGCAGTCACAGCGTCAAATTTCAAAGAAACTTGTTTTGAAATTCGACACTGTGGAGTCGGTCCGATTCCGACACACCACCCTGCCAGTGGGGTGATGGCCCGAGGCTGTTTCCACACGTAAAAAAAAACAAAGCGCTGTAGCGTCGAAATTCAAACGAACTTACTTTGAAGTTCGACGCTGTGGCAGCGCTGTACGCTAGGCTGCTACCTTAGAGAATAGCACTGCTGCACTCAAAAGTCACAGGTGCGTTGCCAGAGGTTGAGTTTCCCTCCCCTTTTTTTTTTTCCGTGCACAAATCCCCTCGGATACCACCTGTCGGTGGCCCGTCGGACTCGAACCGACTAAAACCGCACGCCGTCTCGGGTACTAATAGCCGGGGAACCAGGTATACCCTAGAAAGGAAGTCCCTGGTACCCCGACATACCTCGGATCATCTATCCCCATGTTCCCTGTGCTCCCTGGAAGCGAGCGCGCTTCGCAACGAGGGTCACAGATGGCCTCACCTGTCACCCTCAGGCCTGCGCTTATGGAGGACGGAGGTCGTTCTGCGACCTCCGGCGCCTGAGTCGCCTGCGGTACCTGGCCCGTTCCCGGGCCTGGCGGGCCGGGAGAGTCCTAAACCTCTTACTCTCACTCCGATGGCCGCCACGAGGTCTCGCCTCTGCTCAACCCACGCCGGGCACTCTGCCAGCGTGTGGAGAGCCGTGTCTACGGTCTGCCCATCGCAGTGGTGGCACTCAGGCGTTGGCTCCTTGCGGATCAGACACAGGTGATCCCCGAAACATCCTTTCCCAGTGATCACCTGCGTCAGTCGCTATGAGAGGGTCCCGTGACGCCTCTCGAGCCAATCCTCCATAACGGGTCTTACCGCCGCGATGACGGCGTGCCCGTGGGTTTCCCTCCCCTAATATCAAAGAGAGGGGCGAGGGGGTAAGCCCCCACCTGGTTTTCGATTTTGTAAGGAAAAGTGACTCATAAAATTTTCAAGGAAAAACATGAAAATATCGATTTTTACACTTTAAATCTTTCTAATTGGTGGTGAAGGGTGTTTGAGTGTGATATAGAGTAACGAAATAAACCTTATTTTTCACGCTTATATGCACCGATTTAAAGATATGGTTTCGTTTTAAAGATGCAACAGTAGGTAAGTTAGAATTGTGATAAACAACTAACCAAAACCGAACTGCTTGCGTTGTAGTAGTTAAACCAATTCCACTAGCTTATAAGTAGGTATAGATTGAAAATGCTACGGTAGGCTAGGTTGATAACCTAGCCTACCGTAGCGACCAACAAAGAACAGCATCCAAGTGAAAAAAAAAAATTAAAAAAAAAAAAATTATGACCATCCAGATTTCTTCGTGTCATTTTATGTCTCAAAGAAAGAGGATCACTCATGAAAAAAGATGACTGGAGTTTTTTGCTAAATTTGGTAATTGATATTATTACCAAGTCTCGGGTTCGATTCCCGGGTCGGACCAAAAGTTTGTGTTATCTGCAAATATTTGTTTCGGCGTTTTGGCGTTTCTTCTGTATAATATTTACCTATGTATTTACAAAAAAGTATATAAGTATTATATCAGTCAATCTAGCTTTCATAATGCAAGCACTGCTTAGTTTGAAACTAGATGACGTTGTGTGTTAGATGACTGAAATATTACTATTATAACGCTCTGCAATACAGCAGTATTAATGTTTGTTTAATGTATTAATGTAAGCTGTATTGCTGTATGAATGTTGTCTGGCCTGTAAACATTTAAAACATCGCATTATTATTCGTGCGATGTCTAAGTTGGTCAAGAGGCAATAAAAGAAATAAAGATGTCTTATATAGTGGAAAAAATACAATTGTTGCATTGGTTTTTAAAACTAATAAGTGACATGAAAATATAAGTATACAAGATGGTCTTGAGCTCTAGTTACATAAATGTATCCAATTACTTAAATAATTATAGACTATATAATAAAGATTAGTTATTGGTGTTGATGAAAGAGCGAATGGGTGAATGACTTAGATACCTTAGCGATATTATTTACAAAACTTTCTACCGTTCCACGCGACATGTTACAAATTAACCTTTGTTAGGTACATTTCCAACGATGTGAAATGGGATGTGATTAGCTAGGTCACATTATGTCAAGGCAAGATACTTGAATTCAAACACCTGTGACCTCATTATTTCACGTAACAGACCTGAAAGCTATAGATATATAATAAATGCGTTAAGTTTTATTTTCATTTCCCGTTCGCTAGCGAAGAAAAGTTAATGTCTGTGAAAAGAATAAGTTGTAAAGTAGTGACTATTACAATGTCGCTCTTATCGGTTGCATTTTTCCTGTTATTTCTTATGGTGACAACGGTCAAAGCTGATATAAATCAAAAACTTCCCCAGTCTACATCATCGGCTCAAAACTTCAAAGAATTTGTTGCAAACATTATACAAGAACAAAGTTCTAAAATTCAAACTTTACTCAAGAAAATTCAGACTAACGCACAATCCGTGTTGGAGAAAATTGGAAATATTAAACATGATTCTAAAATAAATAAGAGAAAACTCCATTTAAAAAGCTACCTTGGAAGGGAAAGCCAACAAATAGAATCACCAGTTGTGAATACGGCAATAGAAGCTATTTCAGAAGCCAGAAATTTTAACAATCATTATAGTCCTACGGGTTTTGGAACGAGCGGTAGTCAAAGTTATGGGACGCCACATAGTTATGGAACCTCACACAGTTATGGAGCACCAACGTACCACCACCATTCTATCGGATTCGATCCTATCAACATTGTGGTATCAATGTCCCTTCTTTCGTTTCTGCTTCAAGCGTTGCAAGGATTATTGGGACGTGCTAGGTTGCCAACACCGGTGGTGGAAGCTCGTGAGCTACAATCAGTTGCGGATTGGTCAAAAAAAATTGACGAAAATTTGACTGTTAATGACAAAGATAAGTATTTCTTAAATAAAAAAATGTTTAAAAAATATTTTCCTAAGTAAAATGTGATGTGGATTTTTTTATATTACATAATGATTTAAATTAAGTATTTATTGTAGTTCTAAAGTCAAAAAAAAATATTGTTTGAATAACTTGTTTTATAGGCACACAAATAAAGTATTGTAAGTTCACTATTTAGTGTAATACTGATATTAGCCGGAGGCACCAAAAAACAAAACAGATACAGTGATATTAGTACTTTACAAAAATATGATCACTAAGTTGTACTGTAGTTTATTTTTGCTTACAACGTAAACCAAATTGGGAGAGAGACTTTGGTTACTGTAACCAAAGTTAACAGGAATTGTGATTATTTTTAATATTATTTTCAATAATGGTATGAAGTCATGTTTGGATATTTTTAAAAACAATAGCTCTATTTATTTTGTCTCCACATGCGATATTTCATAACTGTATAATTCACCCCCCATACGTGCGAGTAATACACAGCACAGTGCTTAGTTGTATAGTGACGAATAAAAATTATTTACTTTCTTAGCCACTACTTAAAGTAAACTATTAGAACAGCAAGTCTCTCCAGGAATGTCCACACTGCTTAAAAAATTGGGGAAGAGCAATACTTTAAAACATCTACTCTAATACATTAAGCACCTACTCTGCTTGCTCCAATTACACTTACTAATCCTAATTGTAGTTCATGTAGCGTGACATAATTTCAATTTTCCTTTAGTATTTTTACGAGTCATAAAACCGAATTAAAACACCAGTAAATTGCTCTTAAATTGCGTGTAGGAGCTTTGCTACTTTATGTAGTTAAAATTTATTTAAGAAGCTTGCTTTGATAGCAACTGTGAATACTTTTTAAGAAGAATTACTGACCCGAGGAACGTTCATGAGCTTGGTTACGAGTTCTCTTCTTTCAATACAATGGAGTAAACTGATAATATAATTTAATACGGTTCAGTGTCTCGCCAATCAATGTCGCCCCACAAAATTAAACTATCTTTGTAAATTGTGCCTTTACTTGAAAATCGTTTGTATTATAAATTTCAATTTTAATGAAGTGGTTTTAAATTAAATGTAATTCAATAAATATTAAAACATTTGTTTACCCTTAAAACAATAAAAAAAATGAAAATTCTTTGAATTTCTATTTTTATACTGGAATCGAAATGTGCTTTATGAATATTCTCTTAGAATAAATAAAACCATGCAGATTACTGCTTCTTTTAAGATATCTTTACATGTTTTATACATATATGATAATTAAGTTTTTTTTAAGTTTCGAAAATATAGTCTTCCATTTTAATCAATCTTGCAGGGTAAGTTCACATGAATAACAATACAGTTACGACATCCACTTTGCTACAAAAACGTTCAACTTGCTAACGATAGCTTTACCAGGCTTGATACATTGTTTTGTGATTTATGGTTGAACGTGGTTCTAACTTAAACTTTTACCTTGTAATACTGAATCTGATTTGCACATCACACAGGCAGGCACCTCCTATTTTGCCGTGCCTTATCTACTTAAGTCGATTTAAATCTAAATTAAATCAATCTATAGATTAATAAATGTAAACAACTGTAAATGCTATAAGTAACCAAAAGGCAAATTGTGGACATAAGTGGGCTTTGTGACCTCGACTGTAATAAACTGTATTCTACATTCCTTAATTGCCACCATTAGGGGTTCTACTTTTACTTCGTTACTTTCTCTTTGGTGACAATGAGATCACTTCGGGAGCATATCCCTCGATTACAAAAAATAGTTTTGATAATAGGCTTGAACTTGAAGAAGAAATTGCATAACATACATATAAAGCTGCACTTTTGCGGATGGCGTAGTAGCTTAAGCGGTCACCTCGCCGATTGTCACTACGCTAAGTGTTGTGGGTTCGATCCCCACATGGGACCATACTTTGCGTGATATAAAGAAATTGTTATTCTGAGTCTATGTGTTCTTTGTGCCCGTTTCACGTGTGTTTGTAAAGTCCCTGCGACACAGGATATTTTCCTAGTGAGGACCTTCCTCACTCTTTAGAAAAAAAAGGTATTTGAATTGTAAACCTCCTCTTATAGAATCATTAAGTTTAAGTTATCATTGAAATCACTCTAAGTTATTGAACTAATTAGAATTGAATTTCTCTATTTCCATTCTTCTGTTACAGACAGACTCTTGCTATGATATGAACCTTTCCATGTTATGAGACTATGTTGTGCATTAAAAATCAAAATGTCTTAACCAAAATGATAGAGTTGCCGTTTACTTAGACGACACCTGACCACCAAACATCTCTGACGACAGCTCCTTGTTTTTTTTCATATCAAAATGTATTATCCTTAGCTCAGAATACCAGTCTCCTTTATTTAAAGGTGTCGAAAATTAACTCAATAAAGTGTAAGGAGAAAAGATGAATGAAAATGAACTCCATAGACTCAAAAATAACACTCGGCTATTTAAATTCGAAATGATAATCTATCTTATAAAGATGTGTTCAAACAAAGTTAAGTAGCTTGTATATGATACCCACTCAGAATCGTTATCCAATACCGTGAGAATTCCACAACAGGGTCCTCCACTTCAATATGCTTGACAATGTATAATTGTACAACAATACGAGTACAACTTTAATTCCTTTGGAGTAAGGAAACTATTTACAATTCTTGTCAGTTCTGAGATCATCAGAAAAATACACGTTCATTAAATGAGCCAAGCTTTTGGACTAAAATATAGTACTTTTTTTCAACATCACTTTTACAGGCTTGGAAAAGTCACTCCGTGCCCCGAGGCCCTAGCTGGGGTCTATGAGAAGAAGAACGACATACTTTTTTTCTGATTATGAACTCCATAATTCTAGGTATTAGTAACATTTTGTATGAAGGTAACTTAAGACGAGTTAAAATTATAAGTGTTAAGATAGACACCGTACAGTTTTAAACAGTAGTTAAAGCTCAGCCGCATAACCGAGCGAGAACATTTAAAAGCCACTTATATTTTTTGAGTTGCAGGTGTCTAAGGTGACCCCTCTGCTCGTTTGCCCCATACCATATAAAAAACGCCTTCTAGATAACGAATAGCAAAGTTAAAATGCGGCTTTGTTCTTGAATTGCATACGTGGGGCATACTGAGTCTCTGGATTTAGCCACATATGTACAATAAAATAATGAAAAAATAATTAAGGTATTTCGAAAATGGAACAGAGAATATGTTAATTTTTTATTTGCGAGACTGTCATTTGTTTTTCCTTGTGTACTTTCGAAAATTGTGTGTCACTATCAAAATGAATGTAACTCATGAATATTTTTAATAATTTAGACGTAGACATGATCATCTCCACGATGGACGAGGTACGTGAAGGTCGGCCGGCGACTACGGTTACATACTCTAATATTGACACCGTACGACACTTATTGAAACTGACAAAAAGTTACTTACCAGCAAATTCGTGCTTTGTTAGGCATTGGAATGAGCCAAGTGCAAAACATTTTACATGTGCACCTGAAGGTTCGGAAGCTTTGCACTCGATGGATATCGCATGACTTAACGGAGGACCAGAAACGACTACTTGTCCAGTGGTGCCGTAAAATGATAAGAAAAGTTTAAAGGAGGACCGTCATTAGCTGTCTATAATATCGTAACAGGTGACGAAACTGAAAAAGAAAAAGGCAGTCGACGGAGTGGGTCGTTTCGTATTTTGAAAATTTGCTGACGAATTTCAAGAAAAGTCGAACCATTGGTAAGAAAATGGTCCCTTTTTTTTCGGCAAATCAGGACCTTATACTACAGTATCGCTGGAAAATCAAATGACAGTGACTGCAGATGGGTACGTCAACACTTGCTTGCCCAGAGTCTTAGAAAAATTTCGCGAAAAGCGTCCTCGAAGCAATGCCCTTACAGCCTGGAACTCGCATCCTGCGACTTCTTTTTGTTTCCAAAAATTAAAGACAAACTTAGAGGCACACGTTTTACGAGCCCTGAATCGGCGGTGAATGCGTTCCATGAAGCCATTGAAGAGGTCCCGAAGGAAGACTGGTCCAACTGCTTTGTATAATGGTTTCAGTGAATGCAAAAATACATTAATTTCGAGGGAATATACTTAGAAAAACAACAAATGTATCGTAAGTCTTATATCTTATTGATGAGAATCCAGAAACTTTCAGATGCCCTAAGTATTAACTGCGACAAGTGTATTATAATACCTACATACACCTAATATTACAACACGTAAAATGTAAGAACTTCAACAAAATCGTGTGTAGTATTATTATATTTAATACAATTTCTATATAAAAAAAATAAAAAATAATATAGCCACACAATAGCTGGTGTTCGCTTTTTAATTATCAAAAGAATCACCCGTCTTTCGGCGTGTGCATATTACATATATGTATATAATTTCAGGTGAGGGCACATCACTATCATCGTAACTAAATATTGTCAGCTTAATTTTTAATTGAAATGACTTTACAATATTTTAAAGACTGTTGTATGTCTTTGTTAATCAATACTAATACTGGTAACATGACCGTGCAGTTATATACATAACTGTGCTAAAATAACTGGTTCATTCTCCTATTGATTGTCAATTGTAAGACTATGTTTTTATGCTTATCATGCAACTATGTTTTTTATTGCTTCAGATAATTGAAGGTTTAATCCTACAATGCTAAATTGGCAGCACTACCCACAACACTATATCATTTTAAGATATGACACGTTCCAATGTTTGGTGAAGATCTACTCTAAAACTAGGTGCCGTAATCCAAGCGCCTGTTATAATTTATTCCGCAAGCTATGTTCTTGCGTAAAGAAGATAAAATAACTGGAGGCATCTTCTGACGACCGAAAATAAATGTTGACAAAATAATAATGGTCTACATCACACATTCTAATATTTTAAAGAGAAATAAATTTCTTCTCAGTTATGTAAAGTATTCTTTGTTTCATAAAAATGTCAAAGGTCGAACCAAAAAAGGCCTTTTAAAATCTGTTTCAACTAAAATAGACAATCTATTGTCGCTACTTTTAATATAACTG